CCCCCCCTCCCGCTCAAGAATGAGTCACCGCAGCCCCCGCAGAGGCTGAGCCCGCAGTGTGGGTTGGGGTGGTAATGTGGGTGGGGGTCGTTGTGTGAGGCAATGGGCCCCCATGGGGGATGGGAACCCCCTGCCTGCACCCCCTGCCCCCAACCCCCCCCAGCACCTGGGGCTGTAGCTCTGTGCTTCAAAGTGCAGCGTGTGCACGGGTGGGGGGGGAGAACAGAATGGTATCCAAATGCTGTCATCCCCCCGCCCCGATCCCCCCCTCCCCTGCGCAATTTGTGCCAAGTCCATGCAACTCAATGGGGCAGTGTGTGGGGGGGCACAGTGCGATACTCCCCCCTCCCCACCCCTCACACGTGCCCCGGGCGGATGCTGTCATCCCAATGGGACTCCCCCAGCCCCCAGTAGGATGCAGTGGGGTTGGGGTATGCATTGCGTTGCGGGGAGGGCGTGAAGGGGGGGCACAACGTGGGGTCCTCCAGAGACATTTCCTGCAGGAACTGATCAAACTCAGAGGCAGGGGGCAGCTCTGTGCTGGGCGGCAGCCTGAGGGGGGGGTGATGGGCAAGGGGTCACTGGGGCTGACCCCTCCCCCACACTGTGCTCTCCCCTTCCCCCGAAGCACTTACCACCTCGGGGAGCTCTGCAGTGCTGTGTTGATGGCTTCGAAGGGGCCGAGCTCTGGCATCTCCTCATCTCGGGGTTCAGGGGAGGGACCCCCGGGTATCAGCTGGTGGGGACCCTCCACCCGGGGGGGACCTTCCCCAGGCAGAAATTGGTTGGGTAGAAAGCTCCTAGCGGGGCAAAAAGGGGGAGAGGGGCTGGGGGTTGGCATGGGGCATCTCCCTGCCAGCCTGTGCTACAGGGATTGATTCGGGGCTGGAGGGGCATCTCCCTGCGGGGAGCACTGGGGTGGGGGTGGCAGGGTACCCCTCCCCACTTCTTACATGGGGTTCCGGAAAGGGTCCTGGCAGCGGGGCATGGCAGGGTCCATCACCAGAGGGGGTGAGGAGAGCACTGGCCCTGGGCTGTGGGGGAAGCAGAGTGTGATGAGGTGGGGGGTGTTCCCACCCTCCTCCCCCCACCCTCCCCCCTCTGCCCCCCCCACCCCAGCACTGCTCTTACCTGGGGAAGGAGGAGTGGAGGCCTTCGGTGACCATTGTGCTGATGCTGCTCTCACCTGGGGGGTAACTGCCCATGGGCTGGGGACAGAATGGGGCGGGGGGGCTGCAAGGGCACATGGGGGGTGGCTGGGGTGAGCCGGAGGGGGTTTCTGCAGCACCCCCCCACTGCGGAGCACTCACCAGGTGGAGCTCAGCAGGTTCTTGGGCTGCAGCTCGGGCTGTAGCATGGGGAGGGCGAACAGGGGGGGCTGGACAGCTTCGGGACCCCCCCCCGCAGTGCTCTGGGGCGGTTGGTCCCTACAGAAGCGCAGATGGAGATGACCGTGGGGGGGGGAAGGGATTCTCTCAGAGCCACCCAGGCTGTTTTTTCGCCCACCCCCGTGCCACGGCTGCCACCCCCCCTTCCCCATGCCCACCTCTCGCTTTCCACTGTCATTTTGATGGCTGTGGAGACGTAGCCCCGTCCGTCCTTCCCTGTCTGCTCCTCTGTGGGAAAGGAGAGCACCCTGAGTGCTGCCAGCGTGCTGCCCAGACGCTGTGGGACCCCCCCAGTCCCCGGACCCCCCATGGCTCACTGTTGTAGTGGCATCCGAACGCCTGATCCTTGGGGGTGCTGGGGTAGAGGTTGCGCAGCTGCCTCAGATCACGGATGCGGTCCCCCAGGGAGCGGATGGAAAGGTCCTTAGCAGAGAAAGGCTGAATGTTCTCCACCTGGCTGGAACCTATGGGGGGGCGCGGGGCACAAAACTGCATCTCTGCCCCACATCCAACGTGGGGCAGCCCGCCCCAGCTCACCGTCCTTGCCACGGATGACGTGAGCGATGGTGACCCCCCCGATCTCGGAATCGCTGAAGCGCAGCAGGAACGTTCCGTCGGGCTCCGTGCTCAGCAGCTTGCACACGTACTGCTTGCTGATGAAGCCAATGATCAGCCTATGGGGACAGACCGATGGCACTGAGGGATGGACGAACAGACACGTGCCCCCCCCCCAGCCCCCATGCTCCATCCCAGCACCCACCGGTCTGACCAGTAGCTCTTGAGGCACCGCTTGGTGAGGTCCAGGACTCCATCGAACCACTGCCAGAAGGTGAAGCCCCGTCCAGGCAGGATCTCCTGGGACACAGGAGGGCTGTGAGGGTCCCAGGGCCACACTAACCCCCCAGCTCTCCCCCCCACAGCACAGCCCCCCAACCCAGACCTTATTGAACTGTGCCCAGGAGACGCTGCGGCTCTGGAAGTCCTCCGGAGCGGCGCTGTGGTCGTTGAAGATTTTCTGGGCCAGGAAGAAGTAATGCTCCTTCAAGAGCCCTTTGGTGGTCTGCACCTCCGCCATGAACTTCAGGTTCAGCGTCTCGCACATCTTCTCCCAGGGGACGCGCTCGGCCACCACGAAGGGCACCCTCTCCTGGGGGGGCCAATCAGCATCGGTGCATTTCGTCCTGCAACGCCCCCTGCCCCCCGCAGCCCAGCCTGCTGTGCTCACGATCTCAGAGAAGGCATTATCCCACAGCACCGTCGCCTTGGCATTGTTGTCCTGGTTCCCGTGGACGATGACCACGATGGGGAGGGACAGGACCTGTCGGGGGGCAGTGCTCAGCTTCAGCCCCACAGCTTGCAGCCCCCCAACCCCCCTCCTCTAGCATCGCCCACCTGCAGCCTCACGGTGGTCCCACTGGGGCTCAGCCCCACGGTGCAGCTGAACAGAACGGCGCATTTCTCTTCTGTCACCGATTCAGAGCCCTTCCGTTCACAGCGCTTTATCTTCTTCAGCATCTGAGGGAGGAGGCGGGCACTGAGCGGTCCAGCCTCCCCCAGGACCCCCCATAACCCAGAAGCCCCCGGCGTTGCCCCTCACCACATTCTTGAAGCTGGCGCTGCAGGTCCCGCTGCCCGGGTTGGTCTCCAAGGCCACCACGTTGTGCACGATCTCCCCGGTGCTCTCACTGGGTGGAGGGTGAGGGGCTGTTGGGGTGGTGCTGGGGGGTCACAGCCCCACGCCGGGTGCCCTGCTCACCTCAGGGTGCTGCTGTAAGCACTGTGTGCCAACTCCCGTGCCTGCTTCTCCGTCACCATATCGGCACGCACTATGCAGGGTTTGGGGGATGCCTGCAGCAGCTGTGGGCCCAGCAGGAAGCGGACGCTCGCCTGGAACTTGGTCTGCGTCTTCAGCACCTGGGGGGGCTGCTTCTCCACCAGGAAGGAGCTGAGGGGGCACCAAGCTCTGCTCCAGCCCCCGCTGCCCCCCCGCCCCCCGAGCCCTGCCCCAACCCCCTGCAGCCCCATCTCCACACGTTACCTCTGAACCAGGCTGGACAGGACCTCGTTGAGCCTCTCCAGCAGTTGGGACAGCAGCTCTGCCCCCAGCTCTGCGCCCGCCGCCATCACCTGTTGATGCAGCTGGAAGTGAACCTCCACCAAACCTTCACACCTGCAAGACACCACGGGGAATGGATGCCCTGAACCCCAGAGCCCCTCGGGACGGCCGTGTCCCCATGGCTTGGGGGGTCCCGTGGGTCCCTCGATGCCCCCCCACCGTTTCTGCAGCGGTGCGAGGTTCTCCTCGAAGGGTGCGCCGTTCCCCGCCAGCTGCTGCTGCCGCTTCCAGATCTGGATGCGCTTCAGCACCTGCTGCCTGACCGCCTCCAGCTCCTTGGTGGCCTCCAGGAGGAGCGCAGGCAGCTCCTGGGGGAGGGGGGGCACAGCAACGGGGTCCGCATGGCACCGAGCCCACCGAGCCCCACACACCAACCCCACCGCCCCACCTACACTCTCCGGTGCTTTCCCTTCCGATTTCAGCTGCGGGTCCCGCGCGTTCGAGGCTGTGGAGGAATGCAGGGTGGGCCATCAGCACCGTGTGCATCCCTTCGGCCCCGACTCCCTGCCCCGACCCCTCACCTGCAGGGCCGTCCCCCAGCGCTGCCCCATGCTCCCGCACTGCCTGCACCTCCCGCACGCGATGCTGCAGCCGCCGCAGCCCCAGACTGAATTTGAGCTCCTCCTGGCGCCGGTGGAAGCTGAGGGGCAGGTGGTGGTCCTGGGATGGGACACACGGTGAGCGGGACCCCCTGAGCGGGGCAGGTAGGGGTGGGGGAAGCACGCACCCTCCGCAGCACGGCGGCCTTCTCGCCTTCCAGGATGGCCCTCAGGACAGCCACCAAGCGCATCGGGTCGTGCCGGTATGTGCCCTGCGGGAGTGGGGGGTGAGGGGTGGGATAGGGGCACTGGGAGAACCCCATCCCTATGCCCCCAGCACTGAGCCGGGCTTGGAGGGGCAGTGACCCGACGTGGGCCGACAGAGCCTTCAAACCCTATAAACAGTGCTCAGAAAATGTGAAGTAGCTTCCAATTGCAACCAAACTGACCCCGAATCCCACCGCCCCATTTCTGCAACGTCTGCCCCAGAGATGTCAGCGCTGCACTGTGGGAGGCCCTTCCCATCCACCCCTGTCCCAATGAATCAGCGCCTTCCACCGAACCCGGGCAGGAATTTCCCTGTTGGCTCCGCTCCTCCTGCCCTCGTGCAATCCCACATCAGCTGTGTTTGGTGTGGGCTGGGACCCCAATCCCACATCCCCACAGCGCAGGACCCATCCCAGCCCCACTGCCCGTGGATTTAAGGGAGGAAATCCTGGGGTTGGTCCCCAGGAGGCGAGGGCTCTGAGTGAAGGGAAAGGCTGCGACATCCGCACGTTTCCAAAAGCAAGCAGCAGCACCCCAAGGCTGCCCGCTCCCCAGCAGCTGCAAGGAAAGCTGACCCCATCCCAAATGTACATAGAAAGTGTTACCAAAAGGAGGAGCTTTCAGCCTGAGCTGAGCCGGGGTTGGGGGGTGCGGGGAGCACCGAGCAGCCCCCGCACACAGAGCTTCGCAGCAGCAGAGCAGGGGCTGATCTGCAGTCAGAGGGAGAAGAGACAGAGAGCAACGCACAGAACTCAGCCATCAGGAGGAAACGCGGAGAAGCGCTGCGCACACAAAGGGAGGAAGGGGAGACCCAGAGCCCAACAGAAAATGTGGAATGTGGTGTGGGGCGGCCAGCTTGTTGGCGTGGAGGAACCTGTGGGGCTGCAGGGAGGTGGCTGTGGGGTCTGTGGGATGGGGGGGACACACAGAGGAGCCCCGAACCTCAATGCTGCTGATTTGCTGCAGAATGTGGCACTGCTGTCCGTCACCGCCGGCACTGCGCAGCCTCTCCAGCATCGCTGAGACCAGCCCCTGTGCCACACTGGTGCAGAAGGTGTCGGGGCCGTGGATGAACTCCCTGTGGGGCAGAGGGGCCGGGTGGGCACAGAGCACAGCTCTGCGGGGATGAAGGGGATGAGGCAATTCTGCCACTGCAATGCCGGGAATTCACTGCATTACAGCGGGGGGAGGAGGCAAAGCGCTCCGAGTGGGGTCACACGGCGCACCGGGAGGACACCCCTTCCCAGAAGCCTTCCCATGTGTGCACCCCACTGCTGCCCGGCCGTGACCGCCTCCCCGGGCAGCCGCACCCCCTGCCCACACACAGAGCTCCCCCCACCCCGACCTGGAGCCCCCAGTCCCACCCAGCGCATCCACTTCCACCTGAGCACCAACCCCACGCCTCTGCCTCCGCCCCCCTCCTCCCGTGCACTCGGGCTGTGACGGACCCCCCCCCCCCGCCCCAACACTCGTTCAGCCCCGGGGTGGAACCCCCCCCCCCGCCGGGCTCAGCCCCCACCCCGCGCCGCGAGGCGCTCACCAGGGCTGGTTCTCCAGCCACTCGCCCAGGACGCAGCGCAGACTGCGGGGGAACTCCGCGAAGATTCCGCTGAACTCCTCCGGCGCCATCTGGGAGACGATGCTCCAGAGGGACATGGTGGGAAGCGTCACCTGCGGGGAGGGGGCGCCGAGGGCTTCGCGCTGCGTCCATCCCATGGGATCGAGCCGCCTGAACCCGCTGCCCGGAGGAGGAACAGGAAGCGCCGTCCCGGGGCGACGCCCACGGCTGTGCCTCAGTTTCCCCGAGTTCCGAGGGATCCCGGCGCCTCCCACAAAGGGTGATGGCACGGGGATGTGCCGGGGGGGTGGGCGGTGCAGGAGGGACGGCAAAGTCACGGGGGCAGGAATTGGAGAAGGCTCTGAGGGGTGGTTTTGGGAACCCCAACCCCGGCCCTGTAGGATGGGGGGCCGAACTGCTCCCCATACACCCCCAAGGAGAGTACATCCGGGGCGCACCCCCGCGCCCGCCGACCGCCGACCCCACGGAGAGCCCTGCGAGGTGTGGGGCCGGCAGAGGAGGACCCCACGGCCACCCTACAGCTCTCACCCCATAGCAGAGCCGAGGCGCAGGGAGGAACCCAGAGTAGAGGGGAGGGGACAGAGCATCCCCGGGACAACATCACATCGCAGGGGGTGGGGGGCAAGAGGGAGCCCTCTGGTGCCGGGGACCGCACACCGACTGCGGGAGGAACCCCGCGGGGAACTTCCAGCCATGCATTCACTTCTACCTGCAGAGCGGAGCCCACCACCCCGCTCAGCCCGGGGGGGCGGGGGTCTGCACCGGAGGAACGCACCCCACGGCCGCTCGGCGCCACAGAGGGCTGCGCCTTTCTGATGGCCACGGGTGGAGAAACGCAGCGCTCCGGGCCGGCACAGCCGCTGCATCCCGCGCCGCCCCCGACGGCGCCTGAGAAGCGGCTGCCGGTACGCACGGAAGCGAACCGGGACGCCGTTCCCTTCTCCCCATTAAAACCCGTCTTTCTGCTGAGCGGGGGGAAGCAGCTGCTGCTGCCGGGACGCCATCGGGGCACGCCCGGATCCGCTCCGATCCGCCGCGATGCTGCGCTCCTCCTCCTGCCCCGGGCATCTCGAGGCCGGGCCCGGCCCCGCTGGCTCCCTCCCCGCAGCTCCTCCGGCGCAGCTGTGCTGCTCTTCCTGCCCGTCCCCGCGGGAGTTCCCGTCGCTCCGCGTTTTCCTCCTCCCGCACCGCGGCCATCCCGGAGCCGCCGTGTCCCCGCGCTTCCTGCAGCGCCGCGGCACCGACGGCCACGTGGTGTTCGCTCGGCCAACGGGAGAGGAAGCGGAGAAGCGGCTGAGAAGGCCGCGGGGACGGCCCCGCAAAGCGGCCGTAGCCCTGCGTGGGGGCACAGCGCCCGCAGCACCGCGCGGCCGGGATGGGACGCGTGGGTCGGGGTGCGGGGACTGCGCAATGCAGGGATGCGGGCAGGGCTGAGCGCTGCCGTCCGGGGAAACCCCGAAGGCGAGAGGCCGAATCCGTCCCGTGCCGTCACCACGCTGCGGTGCCAGGGTGCGGGCGGGACTGCGGTGGGATGCGGCGGGGAGGGATCCGCAGAGCGCAGCCTTCTGTCCCGAGCAGCGATTTCGCCCCCGGTGCGGAGCGAAAGAACGGCGGGACGGCTCGCCCCGGTTCCCGTGCACGAACGCAGCCCTGCCCACGGCCTCGGCCCCCGCCCAGGAACTGCCGGGGGTCCCGGAGGCACAGCAGGCTCTGGGCCGCGCACCTCCGCGCTCCCATCGGCTCGGGACGCGGAGGCGCGCTTCGTCCGTACGCCGGACGGACTTTGGGCCGCGTCAGCGTCCGCACCGCGTGCACCCACACCGGGGGCTGCGGGAACCCGACGGACCCCGGCCGCTGCGGGGCCGCCTCCAACGCTCAGCTCTCCCCGCGCCGCTCCCGCTGCCTCCGTTCCCCCGCAGCGCTCGGGCTGTGTACCTCCCCCCCCCCCCTCTCCCGCTCCCCGAAGGAGCCCCTCGCCCACCCGCGGCCCCTCCCATTCGCGACCCCCCCCGAGAAGGGAGCCCCCGCACCGACGCTGCCGCTCGCACCAACGGGACGGACCGGACGGGGCTGCGGCGCTCACTTCCCCCTTCCCGCACCCCCGGCCGGCGCCCCCTACCGCTCCCTCTTCCTCCCCCTCCCGTTGTGGGCTCTCTCGGCCGTGGGGTGCGGCACGGAGCCCCCCGACCCGACCCCTCTGCGGCCCGGGGGGGGTTCGGGCCGCGCTCGGCTCTTCCCGCTCGGACCCGCCCCTCCCTCCCGTTACGGGCGCAGCCCCTCTGGTCGCAGCGGCCCCGCGCCCCCCCGCGTCCCCCTACCCCCCGGCTCGCAGCGCCGTTACCTGCGGGGGGGCCACTCCGAAGGGCCGGGCCGGGCCCGGGGCCTCAGTGCATGGCGGTGCGGGCGCGGCCGGGCTGCGGGGTTGGCCCCGCTCCGGCGGAAAGCGCCGAGGCCAGGAAGGGGGAGGAGACGCGCGGAGAGTGCGGGGGGAGGGGGAGGGGGCGGCCTTGCGGCTCCCCGGGGCCGAACCGGCGGCTGCGGGACCCCGCACCGCACGTCGGGTCGCCTCGCGGGTGGGCACGGTTCCCCACGGCCCCACCATAGAAACGCCACCCCGCGGGTGGGCCGCACACGCGACCCCGGGTCCTCATCGGTGTTCCAGCGCCGTTCGGCCCCAAAGGGACTGCAGACCCCGCTGCTTCCCCCCCCCCCCCCCCCTTCCCCCCAACCACCAGGTTGTGCGGGGCCGCGAGCTGCTGGTCGGGATGGGCACGGGGGAGGTGGGGGGAAGCGGCACCCCTCACGCACCCCCGGCGATGCGGGGTGCGTGCGGAGCCACCAGGGGCCGCTGCCGCCCCGTCGGTATCGCCAACACCTGGGGGGCCGCCGGGACCGCGGAGCCGAGGAGCCCCGGAGCCCCCCCGCTGTGTCTCGGCGGCCCCCCCGGGAACATCCGCCCCCCCGACAACATCTGGAGCGGCGGTGCCCCCATGTAACTCCTCCTCCCCCCGTTCCACCGGGGGGACGACGCCGTAATTGTGACTGCTGACATCATCGGGAGGGGGGGGCGGAGGGTCACGGGATGGGGAGTGACGTCACGGTCTGGCTCCGATGTCAGAGCTGTGACATCATCACTGCAGCCGTGGCTGTCGGGGGAGGGGGGGTGCGGGGATGCAGAAAGTGATGGAGGGGTCCCATTCCATATCAATCCCATACCCACACCATGCCTACGCCACACTCATCCCAAACCCACACCATTCCTATTCCATACCCATCTCGCTCCCATCCCATAACCACCCTATACCTATCCCAAATCCATGCCATACCCATCCGATAGCTGTACCATACCCACCCAAACCCATACCATACCCATCCTACACCTGTACCATAGCCATCCTATACCCACCCTATACCCACACCGCACCCATCCCACTATTCTCCCATTCCCCTACTATTCCCACTATAATACCATTCCATACCTATATCATACCTATACCATAGCCACCCCATAGCCATCCCATACCCATACCCATCCTATACCTACACCATGCCCATCCTATATCTATACCACCCTCATCCCAAACCCATACCATTCTCATCCCATCCCCATCCCATTCCCCTCCTATACCCATCCAAAACCTATACCATAGCCATCTCATCCCCGTCCCAATCCCATACCCATACCGTACCATCCCCATCGCATCCCCCTCCCACCTTCATCCCACACCCCAACCTATAGCACAGCCCCCCGTACGCCCCCATACCCCACCCCATACTCCCCATCCTGCCCGACCACGTCCCACCGCCCCCTCCCCTGCCATCCCCTCAGCTCCGCCCGGGGGGCGCAATCCGGGTCCCTCACGCGCATGCGCGCCCGCCTCGGGGGGGGGGGGGGGGGGGGGGGGGGGGGGGGGGGGGGGGGGGGG